ATATGTTAACTACGCATATTTACAACAAAACTATACAACAAAAACTGAAAGTCTTTCTTAAAAAACGATGATAACAAAAGTAAAAATTATCAATGAATAAAATAAAATATATATATTTTAAAATTTAGAAATATTTGAGTTTTTAGGTTATATAATATATATATATTTGTTTGTATAACGACATTTGAAAATTATCCCGCATGTGTTTCTTTTGAACAAAAAATCAAAATTTATTTTAAGGAGAAATAACGATTATTTCTAACCTTATTTGTTTGTGTTTCCTTGTCTTTTTACTTAGGTAATCATTGAATAATTGTCTAAAGGGCACTTTAGCTCTGCCACTGGGATGTTCTCCTACAGAGACATCTGATTCTACGGGATATGCTGATTGCTGGTGTCACTTGAATATCTTCACTCAAAGTATTTTTTTTTTTGCTTATCCCTAGTACACATGGTACAGGCCATGATAATCATGGTGGGTAGAAGTAGGCGACTGCTTTACTGTAAGTGCACCACATGTCTACATATGTGAAAAGCAGTTCGACTTTGCACTTAAAAATGTCCAGAGTCCCTGTTTGGTTACTTGCTACTCGCTGGTGGGGTTGGACTTTTGCAAGAATCGGGGGCCATTGAGCATTTTTTTTAAATCAGAAAAAAGTGCCCAATGAGGGAATCTAACCGGGTCGTAGCGGTCAAAAACTAATGGTTTAGACCATCCTTCCACCGAGCCCTATTCAAAGTATTGTTTCATTAAGCGACAACTCCTGATACTGCTTTTAAATATATTTTCGGTAAACTTATTTTTTTTAAAGGCCAGTGACATGGTACACAGCATGGTATGTAAACTATTGTGCTGGATGTTGGTATACGAAACACTGATATTATAAACACAAGGTAATAAACCAAATAAATAGTGTGTGACATTTTGGTAACAGCATTGTTACCATCATTAGACAAAAGTACGGGGAGTCAGTGGATTAGTGTCGATTTAGAACCCTATGACCCGGGATTGAATGGTACTTTTGTCTGATATGCTGTTACTGAAACATTACACACTATTTATTTATTTGGATATGTGGTCTTATTATATTGTAGTCATAATCTAAAATCAAAATTGTATTATGCCTTATCAAAGAACTTTATATGAAACCTCTCCAGGGGCTTGTGTTAATGCCCTGACATGGTGAGCTGTGACATGATCAACAGTGATGTAATCTATAACTTTATTTGAAACCTCACCAGGTTCCTTGTGTGACAGGGGTCAACTCCTTCAAGATGTTCCTGGCCTACAAGGACAGCGGGCTGATGGTGGAGAACGAGGACATGCTGAGGATAATGGAAGGCTGCAAGAGACTCGGAGCCCTGGCCATGGTGCATGCTGAGAACGGAGATGTCATCCAGCACGTGAGGATTGTTTTCCTGGATTTGTAATGTAATGTGTGGAGGCATTTATGGCAAAATTCCACATTGTTGGAGCTGATTGCCAGGATAAAGCTGGAGACCCAGGCTATCCACATAACCCCTAACTATTCAGATAATCCAGATTTGTCTAAATCATTGGATTCCTTATTACCTAATGCACACTTACACTCATGGACAAAACATTAAGATGATAAAGCACAATTTGGATTATAGATTATAAACACAAGGTAATAAGATAATATTTTTGATAGACTTCAATGGACCTAAGAAGTTATTCTTCCTATGAGCTGAAGAATTCCAAAGTGAATATCAATGCCATCACTTGAAGATTCTATTTTAAAGAATTCAGGATCTGAAGCTCTCCTCTATTTCCATTCATTATTTTGTCTGAAGATGGTAACAACGCTGTTACCGAAACGTCACACACTATTTATTTGGATTTGGTTTTATTACCTTGTGTTTAAAACATTAAGAATTTATATATTTCAGAATATATATTGAGATTCAGACAATAACTCTGAAAGATATTTGATACACCAATGACCTTTATTGAAGACACATGAGATAACCAGGTGTTAACAAAATTATTTCTCTCTTCTTCAAATAGATGACTGGTGACCTCAAAGACTTTTCCACTTCCTTAAGTTTAGTCCATGAGTGTATATAATGTATAATTAGGTTTCTCCTGTTGTGCAATGTCTGTAAAAGCTCTCCTGTGAATGCACTGAGTCAATCAGCTAGGAGAGCACTGAGTGTGTGTCTGTACAGAACCAGAGGAAACTGTTGGCCATGGGCATCACAGGACCTGAGGGACATCCTCTCAGCCGGCCTGAAGAGGTGAGTTCTCACTGACATTACAGTACTTATCTCTTCTTTCTTATCTCCACTCAATCATGTCTGTGGATCTTCTTCTTCTTTCTTATCTCCACTCAATCAAGTCTGTGGATCTTCTTCTTTCTTATCTCCACTCAATCATGTCTGTGGATCTTCTTCTTTCTTATCTCCACTCAATCATATCAGGGTATCAAATTGTGACCCTTGATGGTGTCTGTTTGACAACCATCATGACTGGGTGAAGTAGAATGTGTCTGCCTTTGTCATTAAGACTGGAAGCACTACTCAGCGGCAGGCCGACTTGGCTCCAAAAGAAATGGCTGCCTCTGACATGAGGAACAGATGCCATGTGGATCTTGAACGTTATAATTGTGTTTGCTGGGGATAGGAGAGCTCATCGATGGTTGCACCAATGCAGTCAATGATGTGGTTTGGGGTTGCAGGTTGAGAGTTATACTTGTTGTTTCTTATCCCCTTGTGTAAAGATTACACAAATTCTCTATGAATATTCATGATTTTCGAACTGTTTTATGATAAGCAGAGGCCTCTCCCAAAGGTCCTGTTTATAGTGAATCTAATACAAGCCAAGATGTGTTTTGGAGGTGCGGGGTACCAAGCTACATTTTGTGCAAGTGGGATAGATTTTGTTATTTTCTATCTTCAATTGGTATACTTGGTTGTTGATGTCATGTTCAATAAAGAGCCTCAGATATCTCCATGCATCTTCTATCATAGAAATGTTATGATAAGGCACAATTTGGATTATAGATTATAAACATAAGGTAATAAGACCAAATCCAAATAAATAAATAGTGTGCGACGTTTCGGTAACAGCGTTGTTACCATCTTCAGACAAAAATACTGAATGGTAACCACGCTGTTACCGAAATGTCACACACTATTTATTTATTTGGATTTGGTCTTATTACCTTATGTTTATAGCAATGTTCTCTATTCTGGGTGTGTAA